ATATATATATAATGTATATATGTATATGTGTTCAAATACTTATTTACAGCAGTAACCCAAATGAATTATTTAAAAAATCTTACATTGTGATTTCTGGATATTTTTTTTTTAGGTTTTGTCTACCACAGTGGACATGCACCTAAGATGAAAATTTCAGACCCCTCCATGATTTCTAAGTGGGAGAACTTGCAAAGTTGCAGGGTGTTCAAATACTTATTGTCCTCACTGTGTATACAATATATACTAAAATAAACTACTACTTACTACTTGTACTACTATTCCTTTTTCATGGTTTTTCACTTATCGCGGGGCTTCAGGGTACAGATCCCCCGCGATAAATGAAGGAAATATCAAATGCTGAAATGTAAAACATCAATACATTTTTGGAACAATATGTTAACAAAGCACAATGAAAAACATTTTACAAAACGTGCCAACTTTTCTGTAATTGTGGTTGTGTAATCTTGATATTCCCCATGAGTTAAGCTCAAAACAGCGACGTCCAAGTATATTTATGCCACATTTGTTCCCTTTTCAGAGAGATTTCATTCTACAGACTGGAGACCCCACTGGAACGGGTCGTGGAGGAGAATCTGTGTACTGGTCAGTCATCACAACTCCTAAAGGAATATTTTTTAAGCATAATGAATATGGTGTAAACCTCTTTTCTCCTCTGGAATATTAGCAAACTATATGGAGACCAGGCCCGCTTCTTTGATCTAGAAAAGGTGCCTCGTATAAAGCACAAGAAGAGGGGGACGGTGTCGATGGTGAACAATGGACATGATCAGCATGGCTCTCAGGTGAAGGGCACGGACTTCACTTTGAAACTCATTTATCAACATTTAATAAAATCACAGCTCAGTTAACCTTTGTGTAAAAACTTTGTTTTAAGTTGTATCTGCCAGTGTGTCACATGTTGGTATTTTCTCTTAGTTTCTCATTACAGCTGGTGAAAACCTGGACTATCTGGATGGAGTACACACTGTATTTGGAGAAGTTACTGAAGGGATGGATGTCCTGACAAAAATCAACGAGTCCTTTGTTGACAACGATTATGTCCCATTTCAGGATATTAGGTGGGTCAGGGTGAACAGTTATTGTCATATGAAGTTTGCCTTGGACTCATTTAATATAAATTGTAAACAATGATAAATGGTCTGTACTTATATAGCACCTTTCTATCTTATCAATACACTCAAAGTACTTTACACTACAATCTGTGTCCTCATTGACCCATTCATACAGCTCTATACTAGATCTCTACAAAGATAATTGAACAAATCATTCTAAAGAGACTAATCAGAGTTTTATCACATTCAGACACTGATGGGACACACATCAGAGGCAATGAGGGGTTCGGTGTCTTGCTCAGGGACACTTCAACATGTGACTGCTGGTGGATTCAAACTCCAACTCTTGCATTGGAGGATGACTGCTCTAACCACTCAGCCACAGCCGCCCTTACAATGACAGTAGTGCCATTTTTTTTAAATGGTCTATTGTGCTACTTTTCTTCCAACGATTCAATTCTAGGATTTATTTAGTTCCCAACTTTAGCCAACGTGTTTCACAAATGGGACAACAAGCACAAGTCTCCTCCATGCTGCACCAGATGTTTATTATGTAGTGACTTCATGTAGTGTTTTTTGTCATCTTGGAATTTGTAACCCTGACAAAGGTACTGTCATTTTGCTGCAGAATAAATCACACAGTGATTCTGGATGATCCATTTGATGACCCTCCAGACCTGCCTGTGCCTGACCGATCACCTGAGCCCACCAGAGAGCAGCTTGATGTAAGGACAGCATGACCAGTTCACCCAAAGTGATGGTTCAACACTTTTGTATTCTGGGGAAAATGTTATTAACAACTAGAGAAATTGTATTTTTCTGTTAAAATACAGTGTAAGCTGAACGACTGCTGAATTTTTCTCAAAGAACTAAAACTGAGTCGTTAAAGCTAAAACAAGTAGAACAGATACTACAAATGTCAGAACACATGCTAAAAGGTAGCTAAAATCCATCTTTTACATTTGTACACACTCCGATTAGGCTTTGGAAATGGAACAAACCATTCAAGGTTCACGGAGATTTTATTGTCATTCGCATCACATAGGTACAAGAGGTGGAAAGAAACTGTACTTAACGTCCCAGTTACATCCAAAAATAGCAAAAATATAAAGTATATAAAAAAAAGAAACCGCATACAAGTCAAGTCATTATTAAGTGGAATGTCACCTCACTGGTGGGGAAGGAGCCTGAGCTGGTGTGTGAGGCTGAGAGGTTCCGGCTAGAAATAGTCGGACTCACCTCTACGCATGGCTCTGGCTCTGAAACCAGTTTCCTTGAGAGGGGCTGGACACTCTTCCACTCTGGAGTTGCCCCTGGTGAGAGGCGCCGAGCAGGAGTGGGCATACTTATTGCCCCACAACTTGGTGCCTGTGTGTTGGGGTTCACCCCGTTGAATGAGAGGGTGGCCTCCCTCCTCCTACGTGTAGGGGAACGGGTTCTGACTGTCGTTTGTGCTTATGCACCAAACGGCAGTTCAGATTATCCACCCTTTTTGGAGTCCTTGGAGGGGGTACTGGAAAGTGCACCTCCTGGGGACTCCTTTGTTCTGGGGGACTTCAATGTTCATGTGGGCAATGAAAGTGAGACCTGAAGGGGTGTGATTGGGAGGAATGGCCCCCCTGATCTGAACCAGAGTGGTGTTCTATTGTTGGACTTCTTTGCTCGTCATGGATTGTCAATAACGAACACCTTGTTCAAGCATAAGGGTGTCCATATGTGCTCTTGGCACCAGGACACCCTAGGCCGCAGTTCGATGATCGACCTTATCATCGTCTCATCTGATCTGCGTCCACATGTCTTGGACACTCGGGTGAAGAGAGGGGCGGAGCTGTCCACTGATCACTACCTTGTGGTGAGTTGGCTCTGATGGTGGGAGAGGATGCCAGTCAGACCTGGCAGATCCAAACATATTGTGAGGGTTTGCTGGGAACGTCTGGCAGAGTCTCTTGTGAGATGGAGTTTTATCTCCCACTTCCGGGAGAACTTCAAACATGTTCCGAGGGAGGTGGGGGACATTGAGTCTGAGTGGACCATGTTTCGTGCCTCTATTGTTGAGGCGGCTTACCGGAGCTGCGGCCGCAAGGTTGTCGGTGCATGTCGTGACGGCAACCCTTGAACCCGATGGTGGACACTGTCGGTGAGGGATGCTGTTAGGCTGAAGAAGTAGTCCTATTGGGCCTTTTTGGCCTGTGGGACCCCGGAAGCAGCTCATGGGTACCGGTAGTCCAAGTAATATGCGGCTCGGGTGGTCGCTGAGGCAAAAACTCGGGCATGGGAGGAGTTCAGAGAGGCCATGGAAAATGACTTCCGCACGGCTTCTAGGCGATTCTGGTCCACCGTCCGGCGTCTCAGGGGGGGAAAGCGGTACGCCACCAACACTGTTTATAGTGGGAGTGGTGTGCTGCTGATCTCAACTCGTGATGCTGTGGGTTGGTGGGCGGAATACTTTGAAGACCTCCTCAATCCCACCGGCACGTCTTCCACTGAGGAAGCGGAGCCTGGGGACTCAGGGTTGGGCCTCCAATCTTTGGTGCTGAGGTCACCGAGGTGATTAAAAAGCTCCTCGGTGGCAGGGCTCCAGGGGTGGATGAGATTCGCCCGGAGTTCCTTAAGGCTCTGGATGTTTTAGGGTTGTGTTGGCTTACGTGACTCTGCAATATTGCGTGGACGTTGGGGGAAGTTCCCCTGGATTGGCAGACCAGGGTGGTGGTCCTCCTATTCAAAAAGGGGGACCGTAGATTGTGTTCCAACTACAGGAGAATCATGCTCTTAAGCCTTCCTGGAAAGGTCTATTCGGGGGTTCTGGAGAGGAGGGTCCGTCGGATAGTCGAACCTCAGATTCAGGAGGCGCAGCCAAGGTGTTGAGGGGATCCATTTTGGTGGCCTTAGGATTGCGTCTCTGCTTTTTGCAGATGATGTGGTCTTATTGGCTTCGTCAGATCGTGATCTACAGCTTTCGCTGGATCGGTTCGCAGCCGAATGCGACGCGGCCGGGATGAAGATCAGTTCCTCCAAATCCGAGGCCATGGTCTTGAGCCGGAAAAGGGTAGAGTGCCTTCTCTGGGTCAGGGAGGAGGTCCTACCCCAAGTGGAGGAGTTCAAGTATCTTGGGGTCTTGTTCACGAATGAGGGAAAAATGGAGCGTGAGATCGATAGACAGATAGGTGCAGCGTCTGCAGTGAAGCAGGCACTGTACAGGTCTGTCGTGGTGAAGAGAGAGCTGAGTCAAAAGGCGAAGCTCTCAATTTACCGATCGATCTAAGTTCCTACCCTTGTCTATGGTCACGAGCTTTGGGTTGTGACCGAAAGAATGAGATCTCGGATACAAGCGGCCGAAATGAGTTTTCTCCGCAGGGTGTCTGGGCTCTCCCTTAGAGATAGGGTGAGAAGCTCGATCATCCGAGAGGGACTCAGAGTAGAGCCGCTGCTTCTCCACGTCGAGAGGAGCCAGTTGAGGTGGCTTGAGCATCTGTTTAGGATGCCTTCTGGACGCCTCCCTGGTGAGGTGTTCCAGACACGTCCCACCGGAAGGAGGCCCAGAGGAAGACGCAGGACACGCTGGAGGGACTATATTTCTCGGCTGGCCTGGGAACGCCTCGGGATTCCCCCGGAGGAGCTGGCCCAAGTGGCTGGGGAGAGGGAAGTCTGGGCCACCCTACTTAGGCTGCTACCCCCGTGACCCGACCCCGGATAAGCGGAAGAAAATGGATGGATGGATGGATGTTATCAAAGTGCTTAACAACAACAATCAATGAGAGTAAAATTAAAGAGAAAAAAAAAATACAATACACTAATAATAATAACTGAAGAATTAATAAAAAGCATTTAAAACATAGGGTCACAGATAAAAAATAACACTAAATCAATTTACATTGTGTGAAATGCCTGAGAGAACAGATGTGTTTTAAGCAGGGATTTGAAGTGAGGAATGGAGGTGACCTGCCTGATGTTTGGGGGCAGGTTGTTCCAGAGTTTGGGGCCCATGACTGAAAAAGCCCGATTTCCTCTGAGCTTCAGTCTTGTTTTTGAAACAGCCAAAAGCAGCTGATCAGATGATCTCAGGGCCCGAGAGGGAACGTAAGGTTCCAGTAGCTCAGAGAGGTAAAGGGGTGCGAGGCCATTTAAGCATTTGAAGGTCAACAGAAGAATTTTCAAGACTATCGTCATACGAACAGGGAGCCAGTGAAGGGAGGATAGAACTGGAGGAATATGTTCAGACCTACAAGTTCCGGTTAAAAACCGAGCAGCAGCATTCTGGACGAGCTGAAGACGTGAGATGGAGGCCTGGCTGACCCCAGCACAGAGTGCATTGCAATAGTCCAATCGGGTCGTGACAAAGGTGTGGACTAGTTTCTCAAGGTTGGGTCTGGACAACACTGGCTTGAGCTTAGCTACCTGTCTTAGTTGGAAGAAGGTTTTCTGCAGAACAGAGTTAATTTGTTTGTCACACTTGAAGTCAGAGTCTAAAACTATCCCGAGATTTTTTACCAGACTGCTCAAGATATGGCTGAAGAGAGTCCAGGTTGAAAGGATCAGTGGCGGCAGTTGAGCTAGGGCTAAAGACAATGACGTCAGTCTTCTCATCGTTAAAACTTAAGAAATTTGAAGCCATCCAGGCCTTAATGAAGTCCAGCCATTTTAACAGAAGGTGAATGGAGCAAACGCTGGTTTCCCAGGCAGGTAGATCTGGCAGTCATCAGCATAGCAATGGAATGAAAGACCATGCTTCCTCAGGATGGACCTCAGTGGGAGCAAATAAAGTGAGAACAGAAGGGGTCCAAGAATCGAACTCTGTGGGACCCCACAAGAACGAGGTAATGAGGCCGATACATTGTTATCAACCTTGACACAAAAACTCCTGCCACTCAGGTATGAGCGGAACCATTCTAATGCAGCACCTGTGATCCCAACCCATTGTTCCAGCCATGATATAAGGATACTGTGGTCAACAGGATCAAAAGCAGCAGTAAGGTCCAGGAGCACAAGTACCACAAATTGACCAGAATCGTTTGATATCATAATATCGTTACAAACCCTTACTAATGCTGTTTCAGTGCTGTGGAGTTGCTTAAAACTAGGGATGGGGCCAATCCGATCCAGTATCAGTATCGGCCTCCGATACCAGCATAATTTACTTATCGGGTTTTCCGATCCTCCTGCCGATATTTCCGATCCATGATGCAGGTTGGCTTCAAACTATGGAATGGATTTCCTGAACGGTGGCGTGTCTCATGAACCCAGAGTAATAAGACCCGCCTCACATTCAGGAAATCTAGTTCATAGTTTGCAGCCAGCTACAACGTGAGGACCGAGTTAGCAGCACTGTGGCTAAACGCTAACAAACTTTTCATCTAAACATGTCCGCAGTGTGGAAGTATTTTACACTAGAAACACCACAAAACAAGACAGCAACGTGCAATGTCTGCAGAGCCATAGCGCCACATTAAACCGCGGTAAAGTTAGTTTTACGATGGACATTAGAGCTCCGTGGCTTCAGCGGGGCACTGCTCTTTGCTCAACCCGGGGCGGCCAACTCGACCCCGGTCAGCCGCATCCATTCTGCCCCGCTCAGTCTGCCCGTCTCTGAGGAGGGACAGACTGAGCACGGCTGCCCCAAACCAGGCTGCCTGCTTCGGATTGAACAAGAAGAAGACGTCGCTGAAAACACGGAGCTCAAATGTTTACGGAGACGTTACTAAACTTCATCATAATTAATGACCAACCA